GTTTAGCTATTTCACTATATCCAGGGATCTAGAGTCTGCAAAAGCCTGTAATCCCTAAGAAGCCTCGAAGTTGTCTCAGAGTTCGAGGTTAAGGGTGAACCAATAGTGCTTCTATTCTGTTTGTGCCCAAGGCTCTTTTCCCTTGCAAAAGCTGGAGACCCAAATAGTGAACTTCCGGGACACATAATTGGGCTTTAGCCTAAGAAACTTTGTACCCACAATAAGCTAGATAGTTTAAGAGAGCTTGTGTAGCTTTGTGGCATTCCTCTGCATCTGATGTTCCCAAAAGAATGTCATCTACACACTGAATAAGAGTTGCTGTAGGGTATGAAAAACGACTCAAGTCTTTGGCTAGGGCTTGTCCGAACAAGTGAGGACTGTCCCTGAATCCCTGGGGTAACACAGTCCAAGTAAGCTGGGTGTTGGAGTCAGAGGGGTCCTCAAAAGCAAAAGGTACTGGAAATTTTCATGAAGTGGAATGCAAAAGAAGGCATCTTTCAGGTCTAAGACTGTAAAATAGGAAACCATTTCAGGGATATGAGACAATAAGTTATATGGATTGAGAATTACAGGTTGAAGAGGAATGACTGCTTTGTTTATAATACGGAGATCTTGGACTAGCCTCCAAGTTCCATTTGGTTTTGGCACTTTTAGAATTAGGGGTATTACATGGACTGTTTACAAGGCACTAATAAGTTCTGTCATTTGAGATTCTGTATTATGGGTTTTAATCCATTCTTAATGTCTGTTTTTAGAGGATATTGTTTTTGATTGGGATAAATGGTGGGATTCTTTACTGTAATTTGGACTGGTTGAGAATATCTTGAGCTTCCCACCTGTTCCTCAGTAGCCCACACTTCTGGGTTAATTTCCATCTTTAATAGGGGAAAACATAATATAGATTCTTGTCCCATATTCATATAAATGGTTGTGCCTGCCTTAGTTAGTATGTTCCTCCCCATAAGGGGAGCAGGACTTTCAGGCATGATTAGGAAAGCATGAAAGAACAGCCAGTCATCCCAATTGCAGCTCAAAAGCTGAGAGAAAAAGTTGGTAATTGGCTTTCCAGACACCCCCTGTATAGTTACAGATTTGGGGGATAAAAGACCAGGGTTAGAGAGAAGTATGGAAAAGGTTGCTCCAGTGTCCAGGA